TCTCAATTTTTGTGTATCGTTCTTTGACCTTTAGACCTTATATTGCTCAGACTGCAGTTGAAGTAGGATTCATCCAGTACATTTCATGTATCTGAAAATTGTGTTTTCACAGATGCACATGTATTTTGAGGATTATAAATTATTTGATCTATACAATTTTCAATTACCTTGTAATCAATGATTACCATTAACGGAATGTGGAGTAAATGATGTTTGTTTTTGCTGTACAACCCAAATGAAATGGAAATCTGCTGATATTATTTAGTACTGTTCAAGATAAAGTTGTTGTAACATTATATACTTGGAGCCATCCTCAATGCTCTGGGGATGGGGGTTGGGGGGTTATGATCACCTTCTCTCTCTTGCCCCTAGATCATGTCATGACAAAACTGAAGACACAAGGCAAGTGATTGATTGGTCTAGAGTAGGTTCATGCAGAGAAAAACTGACCAATTACAGGCTGATACTAGATGAAGATTAAGAAGAAGCAACACTCAGCTTCAGTGTGAAAAGCAATTTGGCCACCATGACCAATATCTTGAAAAACACATTTTAATCAACTTCCCAAATTCCACTGACACCATTGAGCTGAAAATTTAGTGGGGATATTAAGGAAATGAAATTAACAAATGTTATGATTTTTTGGCCTTGTCAAAAGTTCAATATGACAGCAATGGTGACCATTTTGTAATATTCCAAAACTATGGTTTCCCTGAACAACACCTACCCAGTATTTTAAACTTCTCAAGTTTCACATGTGGGATTCAGCGGAAACTTGACTGAAAAGATCCTGAGATGGTCTTGTTATTTTTCAGCTTAGTCCAAAAATCCAAAATGGCTGCTATGACTGCCACCTTGAGCAAAACATGTTTCAAACTTCTCAAATTCCACTCATGCATTAGAGCTAAAAAATTTTGGGAATGTTTAGGAATTGAAATGAGGAATATTTATTGTCTTTACTACTAAAATGTTCCAAAAATATTTAAATCTTGTTTTGCTATCAATACTGCTATACAGTGAAACTTCCCCAAACTAATCCTTCTCAAAACCTATCACCTCTTGAAACCGGACAAAATGGCAATATATTGAATGACATCCTCTTTATTATATTGATGAAAACCAGTCAATTCAGAATACCAAACTGATGTTGTTTCTGAAACAATATGAAATATACTGACAATAACTTTTGAAAACCGGCCTTACATGAACAATCCAGACCTAAGTTTTGACCAGCAGGCTTTGAAAGCAACACCTGTGGTGACAGTTGTGGGCTTTGTGCCGTTGGTGTGTACACGTGTCACGAGTAGGCTTTGTACAGAATACCAACCCCAGGTTTGTAATATTTATAATACCTATACTCAACAATTAAACAATTAAATTATACTATTAATAGCCTATGATATTTTGTGAAATTTGTACACAGTTTTATATCACTGTGAAGCGACAAGTCTACTCTTTACAATGCTGTAGAAGATAAGTCTGTGTGACTTCACTAGTGTCATGAATAGTTACTCAAAGTGGGATACCCGCTAATAACAAATGACACTTCAATACCAGGTATGGGCACCTCTTGCACGAATCCCTGCACGGATTCTCCTATGCATTGAATTCATAAGAACATTAATTCACCTTAAGGGAATGCTGTTCCACTCTTGTGTTAGTGCGGTGATCAACTGGGGGTGGTTTGTTTGGGGGGAGGTTTGATATTTCCTAATACACCTGTCCAGCTCATCCCAAAGATGCTCAATGGGAGATGTGGGGCAATATGGGGCCATTCTAGAGACTGAATATTGTTTTCCGGTGCAATCAAGCATTACCTTGCTTGAAAATTAGGTTATGATGTCTGAGAAGTGTCCATATGGTTGGAGGATCTGGTCTCTGCATCGAACAACATTGAGTTTTGGATCCAAGACCACTAGGGGGGATTTTACTCCATGAGAGATCAATCTATCCCAAACCTGTTCAGGCCATATCTGTGCATCCAGTTAAGATGCACTTGCTGCCACTGTGGTGTCAGAGGTGATTTAGCATAGTGTCAGCCAAAATGATTCTCTCTGCACGCAAGTGGTTTCTGACAATTTGAGCACTTATGAGTCTGCCATGAGTACCTATGGTATGTGATGCAGTCTCTACAGCAGTCTTGAATCTGTTGTGCAAGCACGACAATCAAATCACTCTGTCTTGTTGTGCAGTCGTTAGCAGTTTGGCTATGATCATCCATGAACATCGCAATTGCACTACCCCTTATGAATTTGCGTTAAGCATGGCGTCTTTGTTAATGAGGAAATCTAAATACCAATGTGGATAATTAATGTGGCTTAATTTACAGTATCCATTGAAAGTATTTGTTTGAAAAAATCCACCTTGGCTTGTTCATGCAGGGTGATTTGGACTTAAGAAGCTCACAAAATCGGACAATGATGTTGCCATGCTTGACTGTTTTTAGAGTATATTGTCGAGAAGGGAGATCATTCTTGATGTAATTGCCAGACCAAATATTCTGTTCTTTCCTTACAGCTAAGGTGTACTGCAGGGGGGAATTTTGTGCATTTCCTTTTTTGTTGATTAGAATATCTCCAATGAAAAATTGAAACCATATCAAACGAGTACATCATTTCACTGAAGAGAGAAATGGCTATATATAAAGTGAAGTACTGTTGTAGAGCTAAAAAGCCTCAGTTTCGCATCCAAATTATGGGTAATTGAATAATAATATTTGTTGGTAATTGAGTTGCTTTTGGTTTCTAACTAATGCTTTTTAATTATTAATATGTGAATTTTGGTTCCTGTGGGGATTAACTCTACCTTCAGAGCCTGACTTAAAGATTACAATATGAGGTGATCTCTACTGTTTAGCGACAGCTTTTGTTGTGTGGTATGGTTTATTCTACATAAGCGAGTTGGGGAGGTAGTTCTATTGACCTAAATCTAAATAGCAATACTTTATTTACTTCACTGTACACTTCAGAAACACTTCTCCACCTGAAGTGTGTTGGTAGAATAAGCCTTTTGCTGTGGAGCGTTTGGTTTTGTTGGTGGAGACCTGGATCGGGATGATTATGGTGTATATAAGACGGTGTTATAAATCAAATTTCTGATTTATAGGATGATGTACCTAGAATGCACTGTTGACTGGATTCTGTGTGTCATATTTCTCATTTTGCTTTTTCCAGATTAAAACTAGCCAATGATTTTTTAACCTCACTGTAAATTGACCAATATGGAATTGTGTGATACACAGAATGTATCTGTTGTTATGGACGGCCCCTACCAGGTAACTTTAGTAAACTATACACTTGAAGGAACAGATTTCAAGTACTATATTTACTCTGCAATAGGCCAGTGACTGTGACTCAAAGGTGGGCTTATTACAGCACATTAAGCCAAGGAAAATATTACATGAACTGTGACTCAAAGTAGGGAATGGGCTAATTGCAGGACTTTAAGTAAAGAAAAACATTACATGAATTGTGACACAAAGTAGTGGGAGGGATAATACAGGCTAATAATAGTATATTGGAGTCTGAGTTAATGTTTTGGAGTCAGAGTTAATGTGTTGGAGTTGGAGTTAATGTGTTGGAGTCTGAGTTACTGTGTTTGAGTTGGAGTTAATGTGTTGGAGTTGGAGTTAATGTGTTGGAGTCTGAGTTAATGTGTTGGAGTCGGAGTTAATGTGTTGGAGTTAATGTATTGGAGCCTGAGTTAATGTGTTGGAGGTCAGAGTTAATGTGTTGGAGTCTGAGTTAATGTGTTGGATCCTTGGTTAATGTGTTGGAGTCTGAGTTAATGTGTTGGAGTTAATGTATTGGAGCCTGAATTAATGTGTTGGAGTTCAGAGTTAATGTGTTGGAGTCTGAGTTAATGTATTGGAGCCCGAGTTAATGTGTTGGAGGTCAGAGTAGATGTGTTGTAGTCTAAGTTAATGTGTTGATGTCTGAGTTAATGTGTTGGAGTTGGAATTAATGTGTTTGAGTCTGAGTTAATGTGTTGGAGTTGGAGCTAATATGTTGGAGTCTGAGTTTATGTGTTGGAGTCAGAGTTTATGTATTGGATCCTTGGCTAATGTGTTGGAGTCTGAGTTAATGTGTTGGAGTTGGCGTTAATGTGTTGGAGTTGGAGTTATGTGTTGGAGTCTGAGTTTATGTGTTGGAGTCAGACTTAATGTATTGGATCCTGAGTTAATGTGTTGGAGTCTGAGTTGATGAGTTGGAGTTGGAGATTGGAGTTAATGTGTTGACGTTGGAGTTAAAGTGTTAGGGTAGGAGTTATTGTGTTGGAGTTGGAGTTAATGTATTGGATCCTGAGTTAATGTGTTGGAGTCTGAGTTGATGTGTTGGAGTTGGAATCAGTTTGTTGGAGTCAAAGTTAATGTGTTGGCATCATCTGCTTATAAGAGATATGGCAGATGTTTTAAAAATGGAATATTTTAAGAAATGTTTTATCAATTTTTTTAACATGTAACTTTTAAGCATATGGTGTGTGTATTCAATGACTCATTTAATGATATATATATTGATAATTATTTAGAATGTTAATTTAACTCATATACAGAGAATATACTTCCTATATATGATGTACTTATCTGTTTCATGAAAGTAGTAACAAGTACTGGTACTTTATACTATATGAGTGATATGTATATAGTTATGTCCAACAGCTGTCTTTCTGTCACATTGGGTCCAAAAAGATTGTGTGTTACTTAGAGGCCACAAACTATAGCGTGGAGCAAATTTTGAGAGTAATTATCACTAAAGTGACAGAGAATATAATTCTGCTTATGTCTGTTATGTTTCTTTGCCCTTAAATAAGAAATTATGGTTCATATTTTCTTTTTTTATACAGTAAAGTTTGGATGGAGATGGGGAACTTAAAACTGAAATAGAATTGTATGCTTTCCTGTTTAATTGCATTTAAAAGGTAGTAGAGAAGATTTGTCATACATAAGAGTGATATATCATACTTCCTTCATTTAAAACAAATGTTCTTTTGTGATTTTGCAGATGATGTATTGTTTAGAATGAATAAACAAAATGGAAGAGAGAATTCTGAGACAACCTTCTGGACGTAACCAGCAAGGTGGGTCCAGAAAGCTATCGGGTCATGGCCAGCGGGATCGGTCAAGGAAACTCTCTGGTCATGGAAAGCATTTAGACAGTAGGAAGACCCTGGGTTCTGGAAGAGTTGTATGCTGGGGTTGTAATGAGTTTGGTCAGAATTGTAATCCTGCGAAGAAAGATGTAGCCTTCAAAGATGGTCTCCTGAGCAGTTTCAGCAGTGACATTGGAGGTCAAGTAAAGATTGCCGCTTGTGGAGCCAGTCACTCCCTTGTTGTTACAGGTAAGCTAGAATGTAATTGTTTTTAACCGAAAACAGGCATATATTTATACCATGATAATAGATAGCCATTGAAATTCCAAAGAAACATATACCACTTTATTTATAACTGATGATTGAATATATGTATGTGTTGAAAATTACAAACTGAAAAAGGGTCATTTTCATACTCTCTACCTTTATGAAATTTACATTGAGGAGATAAATAAAGTGCTTTCAAAACTTCAAGCTTTAGAAAACTACATTTTATAGATCTCATTTTCTGTAGTAGGCTTTAGAATGAAACTTTATGTAGAGTAATCTGAGTGTGGAAAATATAAACAGTCTCTATCACATAGACAAATCAGTGATCGTTTATACCTAATACTAGTGTCAAAACTCAGGAGTATCCCTCTCAAACTAGTCTTAATATACTAAAACAAGAGAGTTTCTTTATCTTATTTTTATGTGTGTGAAGCAATGTAGTCAATGAGCCAAGAGAGGTAACTCTGTCAATATTTGATCATCTCGTGTCTCCATCTCCACTGAGTTCCTGCTGTCTGTATAAAGGCTATGTATGGGATATAATCCATTCTCATGCCTGAGATCAATTTCTGATATTATTTACATCCATGTTCTTACATATTGTACAATACACAACATACTTTAGAATCTAGAATGCAGTCAAAAATGTTTTTGTAGAATGAAAACTCTTTGAATTTAAATATCGATGGTCTATTTAAAAGGCTAACAATGAGGTGCTAGATTGAATCATTTGTATGATGGAAGTGTTAAACAGTTTTATTTGACGTGTATTATGTAGCACTGACTATTGAGAATAGTTGGTTCTTTGAATGCTGACAGTGAAATTATGCTGATGGTACTGTTTGCACATTACAGGTGTCTTGTACAAACAAATGTTTGCTATTTTATGCAGTATTTTGTAAACCAATTTTGACATTTGTATTTATAAAAGTCTGTTTATCCAATTTATCAAATTACGTCAATTGAATGTTTATGAATTGTCACTGAAGATAAAGATGATATGTATAAATAAAAATGAATTCTAATTTAAAATTTTAAAAAAGATGAACAGTTAATGTGTCATGTGTTCAATATGTATACTGCATATAATGTCCTTGATCTTCAAATATTAATGTGATGGAGGGTTTTTTATCAAAAATTTTAACAGTGTTAAAAATTTCATGAAAGTGATTTAAGATTATATATGTACATGTAGATACATTGGCTGTTAAATCATTATTTTTTTTTCAAAAAGAAATTAAATAAAAGAGCATTGATCACTACAGCTAATTAAATTCAGTGACAACTTTGTGGCCAAAACATGAAACGGAAGATATATTTCGTTATGCAGGTGGCCATAATATATTATTCTCAATATATAACAGATGGTTAGTACCTAAGAATGAATACAATCACCAAACTTTAATATTCCAAATTAAATTAAGTATGACAGGTTATTCTAGTTGATATGATAATATTGAAATCATTTCTTTCAAATCTGATATAACCTGCAAGGTCATGTTGACTAAGATCAGGTGAAAAATTAATATCAAGTTGTTATTTTCAGTAAGCTTAGCTGAATTATCATATAAGTTTATTTCACTACATGCACACATTTCACCATTTTGTGACAAAACTGTAGTATCTGATTTTAACTGTTTATAATTTTACATTGAAGAGCAGGAACCTTATAGAAATAAACACTCTGTAATATTTAGTATGTATGGCCAAAAATAGTGAAGAATAGTCACTGGTGTGACTAGACCAAATCAGGTGTAGATATAGATGTGTCACTTATAGCTAATGGTGTTGTTGATCTCCAGGTACCATATGCTGTTTTCCTTCCTACCAACAAGGTTTGAGAATAATTCCATTCCTTGTCTATTCTCTGACATAAAGATAGACTTTCTTATAACTATTTACTCACAAAATCAAAAAGGCAAGAAAGCATAGTTATTTCTGTTAGGAGTCATAAATGTATATATAATGAATCAATATTATCTCTATATCGGTACAAAGCAGTATTGACATAAAGAAATGTTTGGTTTCCATTTGTCAATTCAATGAGTTAAATGTCTTCGTCAAACATTGACAGTGATAGTATAATTTAAGTATAGGTCAACAGGGACTGTTTATATAATGGATTTAGTCTACCTTAGGGTACAAACACTTGACAAGGTGTGTCCAGGTGTATCAAATAAGTTATTCTCAGGGTCATTCTCGGTGAAATAGTGCAATAATTTTAGTGCCAGGACTATAAAGCTATCTGTAACTACCTACAATTACCAATGCAATCCCATTTAAAAAGCTTCTTTATGTATCCTGTAATAAGCCCATGGAGTCAAGAAGTACAAAGTCTGATGCAAAAATCAAGCACTGGGATTATTGCAAGACCGGGAAAAAGCATTTACTTGTAATTTTAGCAAACAGCAATATAATATATGGTGTTGGCTATTAACACAGAACTACTGGTTTAAAAATTACTTATAATTTTCCAGTTTACACTCACTTGTATAAAGGATAATGAGGTATGTTGTGGTACTTCATCCATCAACATCGACTGTTAATCCTGTGTCACTATTTTAGGTCAACGTATTGAGATGGTGAGCGTTTCAAAATACCCTGCGTCTGATGATGGTCTGTTGTCCATATGTTGTCAGTCCTTATATAATTCTTGTTATCACCATTTCTTAAGAAGAACTGGATGGTCGGATGGGCATTTCCCAAATTGCATATGTAGATTCTCCTTGGTCCCTAGTTGTACTCTTATGATTTTGGGTATGATCTGAAGAAAAAATGCTGGGTGGTCATAATTGATTTTGACAATGGAAGTTTGTTATCACTATTTCGTGAGAAGTACTGAAGTTATTTTTCGAAATTTTCATATGTACTGTGGAAGATTGCCCTTGGTTCCTAGTTGTGACCGGCAGCCATCTTGAATTTGACAATAAAACCTGCTTATAACTAATTATTGTGAAGATTAATCATGTGCAAAAACAAAGGGAAGAAGAGAATTGAAGGCAAAATATCCCATTTTAAAAATCAAATGAAAATCAAACAATGGAGGACACTTTAAGTTCACAAATTCATTGTTCTTTGTAACAACTTCTTCTTATCAACTAGATTGTCTAAGGTCATGATATTGGTTTTAAAATCTGCTGAATCAAAGACCTTTCAATTTGGTTCATACAGATAACCTGTAACAAATGACAAATGTACAAAATGACTACCTGTAATTGACTTACAAAGTAATTTATTTACTTTCCTGTACAGCAATGAAAGGCTTCTAGTAATGTTTAAATCAATGATCTTGACCAATATTCAAGAGCACAGGTGTTAAATGTGTGAAAATTGCTAAATGGTCCATGGTTTAACTGTATGGTCAGTAGCATGCTTTAATGAAGAGTTTTCAAGACTTTCCAAATGAATAATTGTTTTAACCTATCATCTGATGATGGTAGACTTTTCAGATTGCCCTATGTTTGTGAGCTGTTTGTCAATCTATCTGTGAAAAATTATTGGTATCCCTGTTTGTTGAAAAGTGCTGGATGGGTCTTTTTCAAAGTTCATACCTTAGTCGCTAGTTATGCCCTTTGATTTTGTGATAGATCAGAAAAGCTAAATGTTCAACAGGTGGCCATCTTGGATGATAGCAATAGAAGTTTGTTATCTTCATTTCTGGAGAAATACTTGAAGATTTTTTTTCCAAATTTATATGTAGGTTCCACTTTTTCATTAGCTGTTTGATTTTTGGACTGATTAGAAAATCAATATGGCTGACAGGTGGCCATCTTGAATTTGGCAGTTAAAATTATTATCACTATTTCTTAAGAAGAAATGTCAAATTTTATATCGTTCAAAACAAAAACAGTGTGGAGAATAGAAAAGAAGGAAAAAAGATCTAACTTTTAGAGAACAAATAAAGAACCAGTGATCCTGGATGCCTAAATCCTAATGTACCTGATATAAATTTTGTGATAAAAAGGCATCCTAAGGATTCTGAATCTGTTAGTTTCTTAGACTAGATTTTATTGAAAGATACAGTGACATATGCAGGATGTATTCTGTACCTTCAACCTTTTCACATTACTGTATTTATCCAATGATAATCAAACTTGTCTTGTTATATGCTTTTCCATATCTATTTACTTTTCCATTGTCCTGTAATAAGCCCACCCCTAACTTTGAATCAGACGTAATGTATTGACACCAAATGTTACTGCAGTTCCACACAGATTCCAAATTACAATATAGTTCATCTATATTATTAGATATACGTCATGTGTTTGTGGTCCTGCGTAGGTATGACAGGCCAGTAAAAGGGGGCCCCAATGGGGGGTTTATTTGTCTTTCTTTTTCGTTCATATCATATACAAATGAATGGGAATTAGTGGAAGATATGCATGCTAAAGTTTTGGTAATTATTACTGAAATGAAATTATTAGATATATTTCATGAGTGTTCATAATGTCCTCAGTGCCATTAAGTATCACCCTAGTAGGTATACAGGAAGTATGTACACTACATATTTGTAGCAGGAGACAGTTAATAGTGAGACTTTGTAACATGGTATATTTTGTGCATACACTTAAAAGTTGAAATTTTTCTTCTGATATGTTACTATAGAAAGTCCAAGGTTTGTGTAATATTGCTGTATATACTGAGTCCTACCTATTATTATACTTCCTAACAAATCAACTATTTTCTAAAATGTTCAATGTTTAATTGTTCACAATTAATCAAGTATGATAATGACAAAAACAGTCACCTATTTTGCTTGATTAGGATTTTTTGTTCAAATAAAAGCAATAAATATCATGGTGTTAATGCTTTGATGATGACAGTGAAAGGAAAAACGCTGATTACATGGCAATAAAGATAACAAAAACAGATATGTAGGCTGATTTTAATGTCAGTGCATTGTATACTCAATGTTTTGCATGTTCAGATTTGAAGGAAAAAATGTCAATTTTATGACATTTCAATAAAAAATGTGAAGA